GCGACTAGGAGAATTTATTTTCACAACCACCTCTTGCCCGCCAAACGAAGAGGCAAAAAGCGATTAACCGGATTTGACCCCAGTTATAACGATGCTGTTACCTGGAATCGAACCAGGGGCCTCTCGGCCACAACGAGAAGTTTTGCCACTAAACTACAACAGCTTTTCTGAACTAACTAGCCATCTTTTATTTTCGTGCAAAACAAGGATTGATGAACACCAAAAGAAGGGATAGTATCAGGGATTACGCTCGCCCCCCCAGTAATTCGATCAGACTGCGCTTTAGGGGGAGATGGTTTTTTGGATTCCAACATTTATTTTTTATTCTTCTCCTGGCCTTTTCAGCTGAATCTCGACACTATTTGCAAACTGCGCTGGCGCCTGCAACAGCACCAGCAACAGCATCAGTCGACAAATACCAGTTGGAATGACTGCAAGCAACGCTCTAAGCAAAGGCCATTAGCACGGCAGACCACAGCCACAGGTCTTTCAGCATCAAAGTTGGCTATCCACGTTTCGCAAAAAATAAAAATAATAAACCAACAACAATAAAATCCTATTGTTACTATTTTTGCATTTTGCATTTTGTATTTTTGGTTGGGGGTTGGTTTCACCCAATGAGGTGCATGGAGCAAATGTGGCTGGGATGCTGTTGGACACAACGTGGATGCATTGGAAAAGGTCGTGGGATGGGTGGCTTTCCCATCAGAAAACACTCTCCACTCACGAGCTCAAAGTAGTGCCAACAGTATCAGTCACCAGGACATTCAGGAGAAAGAGAGCAACAAGCAAGCGCTGCTATCAGCGCAGCAGGCAACTGCGGCTATGCTGCTTGTTGCGCGCACAATCTAGGAGAAGCGAAAAATGGCTGTAAAAGGCCAGCATCAGTTGGATGCTCTCTTTCTTAAAAGTGTCTGCTGCAAAGCTGAAAATAAGAGGGAAAAGACAGAGTGCGGCCGAGGCCAGGCAGCAGCAACTTTACAATGTTGCATCGCTGCTTGCCTTTGCCATTTAAGGCTAGAAATACACTAGTGCTGATAAGTATAAGAGTATACACGAGATGCTGATCAGATACCAGGGAATTGGTTGGTTTGGTAGTGGTGGTAGTAGCTTGGGGGATATACATGTCTTGCTGAGTGGCCAAAATGTCAAAAGTTGTATCCAAAGTTAGTTTCTCACCCAAGATCCCCTCGGGCCCCGCCCGACCCAGGGTGAAGCCAACTTTTAAAAGAAGACTAATTTTTACTATGTTCAGAACCTCTGCTGGCTTCACCCTGGGTTGGGCGGGGCCCGAGGGGATCTTGGGTGAGTCATAGTATTTTAATGTATTTTAATATATTTTGTTATGTAAAAGATAGTTGGATGATTGGTACTATTTGCATGATCATGGCTATTGTGCATGACAAAAGGCAGTAGTTTAGGCTGACATTATATGTCAGCCTGAGATTTTCATGTCTTTGGATGACCCCCGATATCTTGATAATCAGCGTGCAAGAGCTCTTGCCATCACATACTAATCAACAATGTTATCGGATTAGCATGTAATAGGGATCATTGGTAATTTAAAAAAGCTTACCACCAAGCAGCTCGCAGCTCACAAGTTGGCGAACAAGGATGGCCCCCTCTCTCAACGAGGTAATTAAGACAATCCGCGATACTTAGCGCGAGTTCCCAAGTCATAAAATCGGAAAGGCATTCCGCGCTGCCTTCAAGGTCGATG